CTGGTGTGCTTCTTCCATGTGGGCTTTGTTGCTTTGGTCTTTGTAATGGAAGTAGTGATACCAGGTGGTGGAGAAAGGGGGAACCGAGTATTAGGATCTACATATAACCCCCTTTCTTGGAGATGAACAACAGAAAAGTGAAGGGAGATGTTGACAGTGTAAGACATGACAAAATAATAATTTATAAATTATCAAAGGTTTGTGTGAAGTTGGGGAGGGAGGGGGAAAATGAGGAGATGATACCAAGGGCTCAAGTCGAAAGCAAATGTTTTGACGATGATGGCAACAAATGTACAAAAGTGCTTGACACAATGGATGTATGTATGGATTGTGATAAGTGTTGTACGAGCCCCCAATAAAATATTTTTTTTAAACGGGGCGGGGGGAAAGAAACTGGGTTGGTTTTTTGTTTTTGTTTTTAAGGATAGTGTCATATGTAGTGAGGTAGGCATTCAAAACCAACCCATGTGTATGTTGACCTTTAGATATGACAGAAGTGGGGACATGGGAGTCAGTGGGGAAAGGAAGGACTTAACAAGTATTTTTAAAGCAAGTGGTTTATCCATATTATGGAGTGAGGAGAGAATTTGATTTCTGCCTCACAACTCACAACAATCAATTTCAAATATATCAAGGGCTTAAATACAACATGCAATTTTTTTAAATGTTTGTATGAAGAATGCCTTAGAATAAGAAAAAAATATTTAGACACAAAGCGCTAACTATAAAAGATGATTAAATCAACTATATTTAATTAAAGGCCTGTTAGGCAAAGTAAGCAATTTAAGTGAAAGGAGAATCACAACTTGAGGTATTTGTAATATAAATAATTAACAAAGGATTAGTAATATAGATAAATAATTTCTTTTAAAAAATCGAAAGGACTTGGAAAGACATTTTTTAGAAGAAATGCACAGAGCTTATAAACAAATTTAAAATGCATCATAGCAGTGATAATCAGGGGAGTATAAATTAAAGACCACATAGAATTCTACTTTATACCCAACAAATTGAGTCTGACAGTACCAGATGCTGAAGGTGTATATTAGGCAAGGTTCTCAAGTCAAACCAAGACATGTATATTTTTTAAATTTCTTTGTATAGCAAAAAGGAATATAACAAAGTAGTATCC